AGAATAATTTTTCCAGTTCTGATTCATGGTTTCTGTGATGGAAATTCAGTTGCTACAAGTTGATAGTTCTTCTGACATAAAAGTTACACCATGTCACAACATTCCATTTCAGGAAAATCATAGAAAAATACAGCTGCATGAAAAGTGTCTCTTTTGACTTATATTGCATCAACACAAGAACTTTGCTTTAGACGAACCCCAGAGGGGGAAAAAAATCTGCTGCAGGACATGAGCATGTGAAAATACATAAATCTTAGAGTTGTGCAGGCTGTGCTGTTGAAGGGTGTTTAGAGGGTAGCTTGTTGTTGCCAGAAAAATGATGCTGGATTATGTCCTTTGGTAGTTGATGCACAGATGCCTAAATATTAATAGAACTCTATCAGCACAGACTCTGATGCATCATTGAGCTGCATATGAAGCATCGATTAGACTGTTTACGTCTTGTACCGAAAAAAAGTATACCCACCCTTGTTTTTCCCTCAATCTGTTTTTAGCTTGTTGTTCTGCACAGTGTTGTAGGTTTCATGCATTAATGAAGAATAATATTTTCTCCTTTAAAAATAACTGTAAAATACAGTTACTGAGGGTGGCAAAAGATTAGCAGACATGTACAAATGTGTTTGCACTCATTGTATATGTGTGAAAAACTTAAAAAGAAAAACTTATCCAACCTTTAATTTGAGTACATTTAGTCAGTAGAAAAAACTCTATTTTTAGAAAATCAGATTTATCACTTTTAACATATTTTTATTAAGGCTTTTTAGACTTGATCAGTATGCCATGTCTTGGTTTGATTTTTCTGTGTTCCTTAGATCAGATTTGTTTCTGTTTTACATTAGTTCTTCTTAGTGTTTCTAGTTATGTTTATTTCCTGTTGCTAGTAAAAATATAATGAGACCCTGATTTATATTTTTTTAAGTAACTGGACACTAGGAGGAAGATTATTATATATTTTGCTACAAGACATGGTGAGGAGGACTGTTAAACAGGTAAAAACTCCGGTGCGGCATCTTGGACAAAACCAAACACAAACATCTCAAAATTGAGACTAAATAAGATTAAGACTGAGGAAAAAAAGTTCCAAACTTTGCTTCTTCCAATATTTTTGGAAAAAGAAGGAATATGCTGAAATGCATCTCAGTTTTACTGTAAAACAGGACTCTGGATGATCCAGAGAGGCTGTGCAAATCAGATCCCTCAATCTGAATCATCAGCCTTGGAAAATGTTTCTAGGAGAAAACCTTCTTGTCCTGGATTGGTGGAAAAATGCATCAGCTGCAGGGGTGCCACTAATAAAGCCAGTGATTATGTATTGCCATTTATTAAATGCTTTCACATGGGATTTTGTTTTCTCCATTTTATAAAATACAGTCAGATTACAGGTTGTTATTTTTTTTGACAAGTTTCAGTATAAACTTATCCCTCTGTGATAAAATATGGATAATTTTTGAAGGTCTTCTTCATCAGTAATATAAAAAGCTGGTCCAAGTTGCATTAGCAACAAAAGAGTGTTTCCATTACATATTATATATGCTTTTTTTTTTCTCTTGCCCATAAAATTTTCATGTGGAAGGAAGGAACTGCTTTGACGGAGCTACTTTCCATCTCAGTCGGAAACATGTTAAGCTTTCTGCTACGTTTGTCTTTGGACCATTTTACTTTTTTACAGAAATATATGAATGCATATGATATGTGTATGCATGCTTTATGTAGTATTTAGTCAGTCACACCATTTGTATGTTAAATATGGGTGGAAGGCAGAGATCACTGAGCTGCAGCAATAGAAAAACACCTCTGTCCTTTACAATGGAGCGCTTTGAGCAGCATGGAGCCGCAGCAGTCACAAGGACAGTAGAGCAGCTGAATGCCGGGACAATGTGACTAGTCCAACATGAGATCATGAATCTGAACCACAGCAAGGTTAGCAGCTTCAGATTTAAACAAAAAAAGGAAAGATGGTCCTGAAGGGAGGACATGCGCACACAGTACGGATTGGGTCTCTGAAAACTGAGTACTGCTCAGATTTGTACGCATTCCTTGAATTATCTAGGTCTTTCTTGTTTCTGTCATAACAAGATCTTCATAGTATACAAGGCTGGAAAAGTCTAATCAATATGTTTTTGCTAATATTGTGAAGGGTTCCAGGCATCAGCTGTTTGTCAGCCTTCCAGTTGTCACTGCCTGAGGCTGGAGAAACCCAGAATAATCATACAACCAGACATCCTGCTTCAAGGTTTACCTGAAAAGAAGGGAATGTTTTTCAAGATCTGGATATTTTCTGCAAGCTTCATTAAAAATAAATATTTAATTATTGGAAACAATGTAGCTGTGACTTGCTATTGTGTTGGACTGACAAATTCTTAATTTATTCTAACTGTAAAAGGGCCTTAAGCAGCATATATGGTCATTTATTATTTATGTTATCACCAACTGCAACACCCTGCGTGAGAAAGAGAGAGAGAGCAGTGGGCGTTACACAGCTCTGCTGGGAAACAGGATTTTATAATTTTTCATAAATGATTACAGTATTTTTCGGATTATAAGCCACTACTTTTCCCCTCACACTTTGAACCAAGCGGCTTACAGCCCGGAGCGGCTTTTCTGTGGATTTTTCAGTCTAAATGTGTATTTCCTGTAGATGGTCTAACTCTATTTATCTATTAATAGACTCTTAAGATTTCCCAATCAAACATCTGTAACAGACAGAAGTGTACTCTTCATTAGAATTAAATACTCCCACTTCCTGTTATGTCCAGCTTCCTGTTATCTGCTTAAGTCTAACTCTCTCTCTTAGCCTGAATAAAAATAGCCGATTCTGACCGTCTGCGCATGGCTTGGTGCATCTTTGCATTTTAATCCGCCTTAAAGTCTCACACTGCCTACAGTAACTGTGGAAATCAGAAGCTGTGGAAAAGTGGAAATCAGAAGCTGAGACTTGTACATGAGATTAAAACGTTAAAATAAGCAGCCAGCAACATTTCCTGAAGTCGGTACTTCAGAATGATCCTCTTATTCCTTTGTATTCACTCTCAAAACCAGAGACTAGCATCTGCTGGTGTCTGAAGTTCAGCATTGCGTTTTTCATTTTACTTCCTACAGTCGGTTGGCGAACTTGTGATCAACAGGGTGGGGACAGAATGCCTGAGGTTCCCCAGCTGTCGCAATTTTATGACGCAAACTCAATGTTCTTTTTAACAGGCAGTCTTTATTGGCCGTAACCTGATTTAGTTTATATTGGTAGATTATGTTTCTACCCAAATGATGGTGTTTGTGATTCCCTTTAAAAGAGGCTCTTTTTACAAACACAGCTGGTTTTATTGAACCGTTAATGGTTGTTTTGTTCAGGCTGGTTGCAGTGGATGAATGTAATCATTGTGTCTTTTCCATGCAGTCCTCGGATAGTTATTACGCTCCTCTCCTGGCCTTGCCTCTCCTACATGCTGTGTATCTGTTGTACCTTATTGAGTTTTGTACTTTATGTGAGATTAAGAGGATTTCCTTCAGTCTTGTTGCCGGTGTCAGGTCTCTGTTGCACTCTTTTGAAGTTTTCTAATAAAAAGACAGTTCGATAAGGCATCCATCTTTGTAAGGTTTTTTTTTTTTTCTCGATGTTAATTTAAGTTTCTATGTCATTTCCAGTTAATTGAGTCTCCTGTCTACCCCTTGATTGTCCCTCGTTTCCCCTGATTACTTTCCCTGTGTATTTATACCCACCTATGTCTCTTGTTCTGTCAGGTCCTTGTCTTACTGTTGTGTCGTGCTTTTGTGACCAGATGCTACCAGTGTCAGAGCTTTGCTTTTTGCTAACCTGTGCTGTCTGGATTTCTTGTGCTCTGTTGATTTGCCATTAAACCATCATTCTCCTCCATACCTGCATCCTGCCACGTCCATCGTCACCACTTCAAACCCCAACTCATGACAATCTTACCATTTTTGGATTAGCTGACTATAACTGGCCTGTATTTGTGTCGCCGTTGTGCTACATCTTTAGAGAAAACATTTTTCTGCAGATCAACTATTTCTGTTCCTCATTCAGCTTGTTTGAAAATTGCAGTACTAGATAATCTGCAACATGATGGGTTGGCAAAAAATGGAGTATATACATGTTGCCTTTTTTACATTTATTTATCCATTTATTTTGTGTTATTTTGGAGAAGAAAGTTGTTTCTGCGTGTAATGTTGTAACAATTACTGTGACAGTCAATTAATTGGATAAATAAATTCAACAGATGTTTCATTTAACCATTTTGGAATTTTTTTAATTAAGAAAATAACATTATTTTAGTGAACATTGAATCATTTGTAGCAAAAGATGCATTTCTGCTAGAAAATGTGAAAAGGTCCTCCCTTTTTGCTTGACTTTATATCAATAAAGTTTAGGGCTGATCTATTGATTATTTTGTGGATTAACTGATTGATAGCAATAGGTGCTTAATAGGAGTTTACAGAATTTGAACCAGGTGAGGCTAAAACTGCCACTTGATCAGTTCAGGATCGAACATAATTACAGACAAATGTTTTTGTCTTAATTACAAATTGTATATTTTGTATGCGTGTGTGTGTGTATATATATATGTAGTAAAGTTTTGTTCTGAAAATGTTCTTTCAGCCAATGCCCACTTTTGGGTCTATATACTCTAGTGAACAATTAATCAATTACTAAATTAATCTCATTAATTGTTTCAGTTCTAAATGTAATGTTGATATTTAGATCGTTTTAAAAATCACATCTTTGCATAGCAAGATGTGAGCTTTGATGATTTTTCTCTATTTTGAGGACAGTGAAGTGAATGAAATGGTCTCCAAATTGAACATTCTTGGTATTTCTTGTCTCATTTCAAGATTATTATGCACATTTTTAAATAATAGTTTAAATAGTTATTAATTAAAAAGCAGAAAACAATGACAACATCTCTGATAAAATATTGTCATACATCATTACCTGTCATGTTAAATATCTGTTTGTAAGTTGAGGGTTTTTTTTTCTGTATCCATGACAGGTTTAAGGATTTCTGATCAGATTGGCCCTCCAGCCGCCCAATCAGGCGACAGCCAGGCTCAGTGAGGAGGGAGACCAGCGCCAGAGACCCCCTTACTGCACCCACACTGTCGCTCCTCACACTCCGTCCTCAGCACCATGTCCATCCCCAGCAGCAGCCCAGAAAGGGAGAGCTCCGCTGGCGTCCAACTGGAGTGCCCCTCGTCTCCTCCTGGCTTGGACGCGGACCCCCCATCAACAGGCAGCCCAGTGCTCAGCCCAGACTCTTCCTCCCATGATGCAGTGCTGTCGGCGCCCGCAGCCTCTCCTGCGGACTCTGAGAATCTGAGTCCAGATGAACTGGAGCTGCTGGCCAAACTGGAGGAGCAGAACAGGTAACAGCTGAGTTATTGTGCTGCCTAAACAACTTAAATTCACACATATAGAAGGAAGTTCCCGTCTGATTGTGGACTGGAAGTTAATTTGTAATGATCACTGCAAGAGATCAAACAATGGGGTTTGTTTAATTTTCAAACTGAAGAACAAAATACTTCCCTGTTGCCACAGTTCTGTTTTCTGTTTCTGATGCAGTTTGAGAGTCATATGTACACTGCAAGAAAGTCTGACCAAGTATTTTTGTTTCTAAGCACAATGACTTAAAATAAGACAAAATTAACTTAAAAGTTAACTTTTTAGCAAGATATAGGAGCTTTATTCAAGTCTGTAATTAATACTTTTTATCAATATTAAGGAATTATTGACTTAAAATATGCTCCGATTTGTTGCTGTGAAGCTAGTTGTCTTATTTCTAGTGTATTAATGTATTTGCACTAGAAACTAGTCAAAAATTCGTGTTAAAATTGTTTGTTTTTGCACTGTTATGTAGAATCAGATCACTTGGTTTGTATAAAACCAGAAAAGGAATTACAGGGAGACACATGTTTGAGTAAAATGAACATTGTTCTTTTATTCTATGAACTACTGACAACATGTCTCTGAAATTCCATTTAGTATTAATTTATAGAAAATGAGAAATGGTCAAAATAACAAAAAAGATGCAGTACTTTCAGAACCCAAATGATGCAAGTAAAAGTACACATTAATTTAGAAACAACAACACTAATGTTTTAACTCGGGAAGAGTTCAGAAATCAGCATTTGGTGGAATAACCAGAAGGTTTTCAGTGGTTCAGTGCAGTGAGCTCTTCATTTTTTCCAGAGCCGTGTAACTGGAAGTTGATGGTATTAAAGGTCATGAGTCACAATAACAGCCTCATATATACTGACTGACTCTGGACTCTGCCAGCTTTAACTGCAGCAGTTGTAACAAATGGCTAATTAACTTGCAGTAAATGTGACACTGAATTTATACTCGGATTAGCCTTTATTTAAGTCTGCAGTATGACTATAGTCGTTTGCATAAGTATTCACACCTGTTGAGGTAGAAATAAGATCAAAACTGAACTTTCTGAGCCAGCATTCAAAACACCAACACTTCACCACTCTTAATACTCAAACTGAAACATGGCATGGCGGCATTATGACGACGAGAAAGAAAATATGTTTGATGCTGTTGAAGACTTAAAGTAAGAGCAGAGCTTCACCTTCCAACAGGACAACAACTCTAAACATTCAGGCAGCGCTACAGTTTGGATAAAGAAATAATTGCATATTAGAACGGCCCAGTCAAAGTACAGACCTTAATGCAATTGAGAATCAATTTTTTAAAAGAAACTGCAACATTTTGACTTTCTTGTCTCTCCAGTGTTAAGCTGATAGAGTTAAGCTGATAAGTTAAAAATAATTACTCTATGGGGTCAAATAAAAATGGATCCATACTTCCCAGTTTAATTTAACAAGGAAGTATTTTGTGTTGGTCTCCTAAATAAAATATAATTGAATTTATGGTGCAGGGTGTAGCCATGAGGGTTAGTGTCTGATTTGGTTGCCTTCATGAATAAAACCCAGGGATTTAACATGGAGGAATGTGCTGTGGGAATCTAAGAGAGGACAGAAAAGCTAAAAAAAAAACCCCAAAACAAATATAAACAGTATAATTACAAGAAAAAAGGAGCACTTTCAGAAACCTTATGATCAACTTTCCTTTGAAAATGTCAGAATTTCAGCAAACCTAAAGGGATATTCACTCAATCACCTTTAATTTGATTTGAAAGGTGACATGAAAAAGGAGCTGCATGATGCAGCAAAAGCTCTTGCTGAACTAGAACAGTGCATTGTGGATTTGGAGACAAAAAAATATGTGGGATCAAAATTGTGGAACAAGTTCCCATTAATATGAGCCAAGAGTCTTCTGTTGCTATTTAAGTCCTTTTTAAAAACATACTTTTTATAATATCTGTAGTCTTTTTAGTACGCCTTGTTCTGTTTTTAATGTGTTTACTTTATTATTGTCTCGGTTTTATCTGTCCCTACTGTACAGCAGTTTGGGTAAACATTTAGTTTTATGTGCTTTTTAAATAAAATGAACTGGATTTTTTTTTTTGGACTGTTCCAGAAGAAACATTTGAAGTCCTAGAGGACATGGAGGGCGACTCGGGGATGACCTTTTTGGAAAAACTACTGATTGAGCGGATCATTACCAGTGAATACGTCTCCAAATCCAGCGAATACGTCTCCAAATCCTAGAAGCCGAGACTTCATGATGATGAGCTTTCTGCAGTTTAAACTCAATGAAACATTTCTGAAGACAGTCAGTCAGAGAAAAAAGCTCATCTTTTTCAATCATGGCTACACGACTGAAGTTTTGGAGAAACATGGATCATACATGTTAATCAGGATGCCCGTAAAGAAATGGGGCATTCACTTCCACACTCCTTTTATTAAATTCCTAATCTAGTGGAAAATAGGGCTGCAGGTATTTAACAACGCACGAGCGGCTGCACAAGAGACGAAGGCTCAGGGGATGCAGGGGAATGTCGCTGGAGAGGATTCAGGGCAAACCTTTGGGGAAAGCATGAAGTACAAAAACAGAAAGGGGAAAGTCAAAAATGTTACTAAAATTGCACTGGTGAAAATTTCCCCTCGATATAAATGTGCATCTTTACTCAGCTAGACAGCACAGGGTTTGTACAGAACTAAAAATAGGCAATATTAACACTCCATTTTTACAGGAAACAGATGTCTGCTGATGAATGGAAGACACTGAAAAGGCATTAAAACTCTCAAATCTCTAGCAAAAAATAAGATATTTCCATAACCGTTTATGCTTCTTTTCTGCTTTGTTCTTGCTTACTTATGTCATCTTGAATAAGACAAACATGCTGATAGACGTTATCCTAAAGCTCATGAACTGTTTGCATGCAGGTTGCTGGAGGCTGATTCTAAGTCGATGCGGTCCATGAGTGGTTCGCGGCGCAACAGCGGCTCCTCGCTGGTGTCCAGCTCCTCTGCCTCCTCCAACCTGTCGCACTTGGAGGAAGATACCTGGATCTTATGGGGCCGAATTGTTAATGAGTGGGAGGAGTGGAGACGCAAGAAGGACAAGCTTCTGAAGGTGAGGTACACCTAGGCTTTATATTTACACTATAGAGTTTGGATAATTGAGCCAAACACAAAAGAGGTTTTAAAAGGTTTATTAAAAATCTGGAACTGGTGGGAGTCGCACAAAAATTCAGGAGGAAATTAAACGAAGATCCAGACGGTGGCAACTGAAGAGATGAGTTAAACAAATCCAGAGTAGCATTAACCTCTTAGATGATGCATCAGCTGCCCTTCCTGAACACATAAACCCTAAAATGAGAACATGCATTACATTTTCAGCTGGTGTGGTTCGGTTTCACCAGCTGAAGGCGAATCGCACCTTTTCTTAATTGGCTTATGTCAAACCAATTAAGAAACAAGCCTTGCACAAGAACCACTAAAGAAAATGATGCGAAAACACTGAGTGGTGTCAGATTTTAGTGTTTTTATCGGTTCTCTTTTGCCTTTAGAAAATGTGTCAAAAACTCTTCAACAATAGCATCAGCACTGTGTTTATTCCTCCCATCATGGACAACCAATCCTGTAGATTTGGGAACATTTGCTCTTTATTTGTCAAAGTTCTCTGGGGGGAACCAAATATTTCACCCGGCTCTTTCTTAGTTGTAATGTCACTGAGGTTTGTTTTATAATTTTGGACACTCGCGTGTCTGGAAAATGTTTGTTGGAGTTATTTGTCATGACCTCTGTTTTGCAAAAGGCTTGGATGTATTGGTATGCACAGCCAGCAGTCCTCCGTGTCGCATTCCCCTCTGTGTCCTCTGTCACACAAACCAAATTTACCCGTGGGAAGAAAAGATGGATGTGAGACAAGACAGGAAAACATTGTCAGCAACATGGGAGATTGAAAAAGTCAAGAAAAAAATAGAGTTCATTTAGTAACCTATTCTAGTTAGATTTTTTTGTAAGTGCTCTTTTCTTTGGCTTCTTAAAGTTTACTTTAAAGGCGGATTTCCTTCGACAGGTTAGTTTTGGTCTATGAGCCATGCAAATCATGTTTATTGCATTTTTTTTTACACAAAATCATTCCTGGATAATGAGATCTGGTCAGTTCTGTCCATTGTGAGTGTCTTTCAGAATGAGCTCTTTTAGGGCCTCCTGTCACTTTAAATCCAAATAAGCTGCTTCTGACCACATGGGTTGTGCACTTGCACATGAAAATGGCTGCAAACATTTGCTCAAATATACAACTGTACATCTTTGAAAAGCAGAAGTTGAGCTTGTTAACTCAATTCTTGTTAGTTGAGCTTCCTGCACAACTAACAAGAACGCAACAAATGGCGTCTGGATGGCAAGTCAACAACAAGACACCTGTCTTTTCCAGCAGCCATTGCATAGCAGACACAGCAGTAAAACCAGCCGGACAAACCTGATGTAGCTCCGCTTGGGTGGCTAGGTAACGGGCTGGGGTGGCTAGGTAACGGGCTGGGGTGGCTAGGTAACGGGCTGGGGTGGCTAGGTAACAGTACAGTTTCCGTAGAACGTGACTTAACAATCGACTGGTTTTTGAAACCACTCATTTTCTAGACACCAAAAAACATTAACTTATTTTAAGCGCCTCAGCTGTTTCTAGAGGCAGTTGTACAAAAATATGCAAAACGTGAATCGTACACATACGTCCCCTTTTAAATCTTTGATAGGCATTTACTCAGTATCGAATGAGCGTCTCACGTGTGCATTTGCTTTCCAGGAGTTGATCAGGAAAGGTATCCCCCATCATTTCCGTGCCATCGTCTGGCAGCTGCTGGGCAACGCCACAGACATGCCGGTGAAGAACCAGTACTCTGAGCTGCTGAAGATGTCGTCTCCCTGTGAGAAGCTGATCCGCCGGGACATCGCCCGCACCTACCCGGAGCACGAGTTCTTCAAAGGCCAGGACAGCCTGGGGCAGGAAGTGCTCTTCAACGTCATGAAGGTGAGCGCTTCTGCTTCCCATCAGGGACTGAACTTCACTTTGATAGGTTTCACTTTTAGAAAAATGTCAGACATTTATCCCTCCGTGTTTGCAAATTATCTATGATGAAAGCGGTTGAATTAAAATAACAAACTGCCTGTAAAATCCTATAATGACAAACATCATTTGGCGTCACATTGAGGACAGTGACTAGCCCTCTATGAATTAAGTCTTTTTGTGGTTGTAACAGTGTTCTTGTGCTCAAGATGTAAAGGGTTTTGTACGGCAGTTGCACCAGTTTGACCAGCACAAACTCAAATGTGACATTTTTGTCTGACCACCATTCATTCCCTATTAAGCTTTAAATAAACTCTGTTCAGGTGAACTCAAAGGTTTCTTATTTTCCACCAAAAACAAGTTGAAGCAACTTCCCAGATGTTTTGCAGAATAAATTTGAAATGAATGCTTTCGAAGTTTTTAATGTTTTTCTGTTTATTTTATTCTCAGCATTGGATAAACTTTTAATTTTCTTTCAGATGAGCTTATTGTTATTGCTTTAGCAGAAACAAAGCCTAACACAGGCACAACGGGGAACACGACAACAAAAGTAGCAATTGGACTGCATGGATTTTTAGCCAAAAAACAGTAAATAATCTTTGTGGCTTAAAGTCCATAATCTATGCAAACAGTCAGACTTTACAAACACAAACAATACTGTAACAACAAAGCCTTTCCAATATTAAAGATTCTATTTTGCGGCTTTAATTTAATTGCGCGTCGTTAAATTTTATTGCTGAACTGTACACAATAATTGTCTTCAATTATTTTTAAGAATTGTAGCAGCAGCACAAATGAAAAATGCTTCATTTAATTAAGTTTGTTGTTATAGTCACAGGATGAGTAATTATCTTAATGACTCCTTTTGCTGGAGGGATGAGAAAAACAATTTACATTTTAATAAATAAAACAAAAAAAACTGAACGGAGGAGGTGGACTTTAATTTCATTCTTCCTGGTTGCTGTTTTACAGCTTTCCATACTTCAACATATGTGACCAAAACCTCTTATACGTTGGCATCGTTTGAGACATGTTTGGATCGTGAAATAACGACTCAGTTAGTTACCTAAACAGGCCTGATACTGTGATTCTTACAACTACATTTATAAGACTGTTACTTTAGATCTTTATTCGAAACTGTAGAAATGTTTTGGATAAGAGGTGAAGAAGAAGTCCAGTTGTCTTCCAGTTAAGCACATAGAAGATCAAAAATACTTCACTTTTTATCCTCAGTAAACTGTAAAAGATGAGATGTTGCTCATCCCTGGGGATTATTGATGAAATTGGGCTATTAAATTGGCCAGATTTGCAGGGAACCGTCTCATTTTAGTAATACATTTTATCATCTGAAGAAATTAGACGGCATGTTGCCAACCTTGCTTCCCAGTTCTGAACTGCTGGAAAACACCAATACACTGCAAAACATTTGAGATGCATTTAGTTGTGTCAACCATCTTCTACTCTTTAAGTCTAATAAATTTTAAGTTTTAGATCTTGAACATAAATGTGAGTTTGTGAAAGATTAACTTGTTGTAGTAAGTTGTTAACTTTTTTTATTAATGTTGTCAAACCTCCAAGAGTTGAATAAACTAGAGTTTTTAGGTAAACACNTAAAAAACTGAAAGAAGAAAGACGGAAGTGGGAACCATTTACCAGAATGCTTAGCGGCATGTTTCTGTATCCTGAGATGGAAGTGCGTCACATTGATCCGACTCTGGTGTTTTATTAAGGAAAATGTTTGTTTTAAAGCCTGAGGATAAAGTCCTGTTCACACTAAATGTTTCTGAGCTGAATTCATCGTGAAGTTTAATAAAATTCATTATCAGGTCAGAAATTTTGTTCATGCAATTTGAAACAAGAATTTAAATGATTCTAAAGTAAAATAAGTTGACTTGATATTGTGAGTAAAATACCAGAGAAATGTGGCTCTTTAACTACGTGAGGACAGTTTCTTTTGTTGCATATTGTGAAATAATTATTTGGTTTAAATTGCAGTATTAAGTTAAAACTCTCAATTTAAGATTAGTGAATTTAAAAAACAATGTTTAAACAACTTGTCTCTCGTTGTTAAATCAACTTCATGAACTTTAATTTCCGAGTTAAAACCAAAACTATTTTCTTGTGACTTAAATTACATTTTCCAGGCAGCAGGTGGACTTTCATTTTCAAGTTAAACCAACTTCAAATGTTTTACAGTGCACTTTATGCTTATGAAACACACCATTTGCACATACTGTAACGTATATCAGCTTTTAAATTAAAATATTCTGAGTAATTTCGTATATATATTTAGAATAATAAAAAGACAAATTAGTTTTATTGAAACGATCCTACTTGACCTTTTTTCCCCTATACAAACACAGATTATGTTACACGGTTGTTCAGGGATTTTTGCTGTAACATAACTGTAGTGTTTAGCTGAGGAAGACGTGCGTCATGAGGTGTTAGAAACCTGTTAACTGTCCTAATGCAACACGATGAGGAAGAGTCGTTTCTTTCACTTTTACGCTAAACCTTGTTTGCATCATTAATAATCATCCTCCAGGCTTTAGCTTCAAATAACCTGCCACTTTGTTTTTACGTGATTAACTGCTTCATCTACTAATAACAAGGTGCTGCTATGAAAATATGATGTGATTAGCTGTTGCTACTTTCTACCCTTGATCTGCTTTTGTTCTGAAATGAAGGGAAAACAGGCCACACGGAAATGTGCTGTTAATCTCCATGGGAACCAGCTTGCTGTTTACTCGTACAGCTGAGCTGCTCAGGAAATGAAGACGGATATCTGGGCGCTCTCTAATCCCATTCCCCTGGCTGTGACTGTTCTGTTAGGATCTTAAAGGTTTTGTTTTTGTACCAACATGTAACATTATAAATGTAACTTATGTTTGATTCCCAGGCGTACTCCCTTGTAGACCGAGAGGTGGGTTACTGTCAGGGCAGTGCGTTCATCGTTGGCTTGCTGCTAATGCAGGTATGAATTAAACGGTATTTTGCTAAGGTTACAGTATCTTGTTGACTTTTTGTGAAAGACTAACAACAAGAAAGTACTTAAGTTTGAATGGAAATCAATTGAATTGATTGGACTTTGCATATTAAATATAGTCATAAATATAACGGATTTAGAAAATTCCAAGTTGCATCAATAGTACCATGAAACCAGCAAGACAAAAATAACATTAACACAGTTTTACTAGTAGAAATAAATGTATAAACTACATGTGACAGATTTTATTGTCATTCAACTGTACATTTAAAAATGTACAAATTGAAAGAAATTTCATTGCAAGGCTCCAATAATAATAAATAAATAAGTAATAAAAGAATCAATATAAATGTATATAATAAAAGATTGAACTAATGGGAGTTTAGTATTTGGTCTGGAAAACCGACTTTAAGAGGCCTATGTCAAAGTGCTCGTGTCTTTTAACATGTTTACAAAACTGTATCTGTCATATTTTTCATTTAGCCTTTATTTCACCAGGAAAATCCAACTGAGATTTTCAATCACAATGGGAGATCCACTTGTGTGTCATTTAATCTCAGTAAAAATCCAGCTGTCCTCTGGAGGTTTCAGATGTCTGTAAAGCTCCTTCTTCATTATATCTCAGTCTAGCCAGTTAATGTCTGGTTTGGTTGCAGCCAGTTTGGGTGTGTCTCTATCGGCAGAGTGTTCCCCTCTATATGGGTGTGAAAATGGGCAGGAACTGTGGTTGACGCAACGATGATGTCATTTTGCGCATTCACCCTTAGGCAGCCAGTTTCTTCAAAATATCTAGATATATTTATTTGTTGCCCCGTCCAGTTGATGTTGCACATGTTCTTCCACGGGCCTGTAAAATATAGGTTGGCCTCCTTCCTGCAAGCATTGACCTCTAGTCATTCAGCCAAAGCTACCGTGGAATCATTTAGATTGAAGCAAGTGTCAGAAAGTCCGAACCTAAAATCTGTGGCATAACTTCAAAATTGCTCACTGAGTTTAAGCTGTTTTGCAAAGAAAAGCACACAGAAATTTTAGTCTCAAGAACTGATGGAGACTTATTGTTGTAACTGCTGCTTTAAAGGGGTGGCATTATGTATTTTTCAGGCACATAATGCCATTTTAAAGCACAATCAAGTAACTATGTTGCCTTCAGTTATCATAAAATTGCTGTGTATATTAAAAATGACTTAAAAGAAATTTCATTTTGTAATTTATCGCCTTGAAATTGGGCCTCTGTCTCCTTAAGAAGCTCCTGCTCTTTCTGACACTCCGCTTTAAGCACGTTATCACGACAACCTTTCTCCTTTACGCCTTTAACGACACCAGCTTTGAACTGAGAAGTAGTTTGTATGATGAGCTCGGAAGATGCACAGACTACTCTTTTCAGGATTTTATAGTTCAAAAAAATATGAAAACCTTATGAATCTTTTACTGTTTTACTGCTTTGCCTTCATCTATCACAAAGAATCCTGGTACAATTCATTCACATTTGTGGTTCTGTTGTGAAAAAGGTCTGAAAAGGTTCAAATCTATAAAATAAATTGGCTGTATATTCTTTATTTTGTCCAAAATGAGCCCTGTTGGACTTCGAACCAATAAAGTAACTCCTTCACTCTTTGTCCTCCTCCCAGATGCCAGAGGAGGAGGCATTTTGTGTTTTTGTGCGACTGATGCAGGAGTACCGTCTGAGGGAACTGTTCAAACCCAGCATGGCCGAGCTTGGCCTCTGCATCTACCAGTTTGAATATCTTCTACAGGTAAAAAAACAAAAAACAAAACAGAGCAAGAGTTGTGCTGTCTTAATTGACCACAAGGGGGAGCCAAAACATGTATTTTGATCTCTGAAAGTCACTTCCTTTTAAGAGGTTTGGCTGTGTTTACGATTTGATGCCGCTTGTCTCTGCAGGAGCAGCTTCCAGAACTGAACATCCATTTCCGCTCCCAGAGTTTCCACACATCCATGTATGCCTCTTCCTGGTTCCTCACCCTCTTCCTCACCTTCCTCCCTCTACCTGTCGCCACACGCATCTTTGATATATTTATGTATGAGGTAGGGAGCATTCTGCGGATATGTCAGGAGATTTGGTAACACTTTATTTGAAGGGGTGTGAATAAGACTGACATAACACTCTCATGAACATGAAGAAGTCTTTATGAATGTTTGACAGTTGTCATGAAGTGTCATTCAGTAAATGACACTTTTAATGCAAAGTTGCTCTAAAAGTTGCATTAAAAGTGCTAACTTTGCATGATTTTGTAAATAATGACAATTTAATGCAAAGTTGGCATTTTTAATGGACTTTCAATGCAACTTTTAGAGCAACTTTGCATTAAAAGTGTCATTATTTACCGAATGACACTTACTGACAACAGTCATAAACATTCATAAAGACTCGTTCAGGTTCATGACAGACATTGTCATGTTTATGACAGTGTCATGTCCGCCTTATGCACACCCCTTCAAATAAAGTGTTAATGGAGATTTTGTTCACAAGATGACACATACACATATACTAAAATGTTTGAATGGTTTCCAGGGCCTAGAGATTATCTTCCGTGTGGGTCTGGCCATCCTGCAGTACAACCAAACCGACCTCATTCAGCTCGACATGGAGGGAATGTCACAGGTAAGCGTCTGCAGCTGTGTGCCACTTTCTGTACAAAATAGTTTCATGTACAGATTCAGCCACGAGACAAAACACTCCATGTCCCAATTTCCCCACCGCACGCGAGCTTCCTGAGCACAGCTAAGATCTATTTTGATAAAAAAAAGAGAAAAAAGAAGCTTTGTACAGTTTAGGACCTTTTTTTATCAGTGTTGCATAGAAAATGAAACAGACAGTATTTTATTTTTACTCTATAGTTTACGTTTGTGGTCTAAAACCACATTTAGCCTGTTTCATATGTCTGTTATCGTCAGGAGGCAGCAGTTGTTCAAGACCCCTGTTGCCTGGTAAAATCTGGTTAAATAAGTGAAATGTCTGCTGCTGATCTTTATTTGCAGACAGAACTTGTGGAAAGAAGTAAAAGCTATTCCTGTCAGCTTTTAGAGTATTTAACAGGCTTTATGTACTATTTATGCGTGTTGCTCTGTTTTATTTTGTTCGGATTTATCTGAAAACATGTGCCACAGTGAAATCAGTGCATTTTTATTTGCGCAAAAAATGTTTAATTCATCAACAACCATTATTTAACTAGGATAAAAACTCTGTGGCAGCAGCATGATTGCATTAGTTACTAACAAATAGACACTTTCACTCAACAACAATATCATCATTAAAAATTTGAAAACATAGCTCATATAATCACTTTTAAAACAAAGGCACAGACTGTGTTTCTGCTAGATCTTTTAAAATGTCTTCTAATATTGTCTTTTCGTAACAAAATATTGAGCTCAAAACACAAGATGATAGAAAATGTTCAATTTACTAGATTAAATTATTACAGTTTGCGGGGAAAACTAAAAATCCCCATTTTATTTATTTATTTATTTATTTTTTTTTTGACAAATAGAGTAAATCTCCACTGTATTTTTAAGTATCCATAATCAGGGTAGAACGTCCTAGTCCAGTTTTGACCAGTTCATTTGTTCCAATGTTTGTGTTTGTGTATTTCTGACGTAGCCTTGTAGCCAAAACCAGAGAGAAGTGCAAGAGAGACCAGATATTAACAAGGGTGATGAAACTGCTTCTGGAAACTTTGTGCTGCTGTGTGACTTAAACATTCTTCTTCCGCACATGCGAGTCGCTTTGGGGACGTAAACCAGTCGCACAGAAATCTCACTGGGGCCACGTTTTATTAGTGGTATGAATGACGATGCAAAATAATTGGATTTCAGCACAAAACCTGAATTGAGCATCAAGACCTGCTGTAACCTTAACCCAACATTCTTCAACACAAACAAGAGAAAAAACGTGGAGGCTTTTTTTGTGAGCATCCACCCTCACATCCTGGGTCAAAAATAAGAGTTTATCAGACACCTTCACTTACTGATGGCAGCTCGAACGTTTGGCTTTACAGTGGCATTTCAATATCACGGTTCAGGGTCACATGGTAACAATATTCTCAATAAGAGCAGCCGCTCCATGTCTGCTTTGTAGACGTTCGATATTAACGAGCGTCTTCGTCTTGTGTTTTCCTCTCAGCATTTCCAGAAGGTGATCCCCCATCAGTTTGACAGCTGCCCCGACAAACTCATCCTCAGGGCCTACCAGGTCAAATACAACCCCAAGAGGATGAAGAAGTAAGACGCCTCTTTACTCAGCTGAAACCGGAGGCTGAGTGAGCTTTATGCAACACTTAGGCTGTTCCACAGAAGCAGACACACATCCGCCACACTAAATTAGGAGAGATGGTCTCCTATGATTCATGGTTTCTTTTAGTGCATCGTACTGTAAAAGGAAACTTGATTAAAAATTCAGTTATTGGGAACATTTGAAAAATGATGATTTTTGATGTCTTATTTTTTTCAGACTTGAGAAAGAATACACCACAATTAAGAACAAAGAAATGGAGGAGCAGATTGAGATAAAGGTTTGTATAATTTACATATTTATGCTTATAGAAAACCCATTTTTATTATTATTACTACAATCACCATCTTCTTATTGTTATTTTTAACTGTTATAACTGTTTGAAAAACTATAATAATAGTCTATAGTTTAAACTAGGGCTAATAATTATCTCCGGGAGGAGAAAGGCTGCCGTACTCCAGGCATTGCGCCAGTCAATTTAAGGATGCTTAAAACATCCTTAAAATGAAAAACGATAAAAACCCGGACATTATCATAAATGAGTGAAATGCCCCTATACGCCCTGGCCTGAACTTGAAAATCGGACGTTGTGCTGCTAACACTTGGCGTTCGTCAAGAACTCATAGGTGGAAGTGAGAGTGCTGCGTAACATAAATAATCACCCGGTGGCTAAATAATAAAACATAATTTATCAAAGCTTTGAGGCAGGTAACTTTCCTCGAGGAATTTTAATAATCGAGATACTCGAATCACTCAAGGACTCACTACAGCCCTAGTTTAAACTATAAACTATTGTTATTTTTATCTTTATGTGCCAGCATTTTGAGTTGCCTTTGGCTGAGAGGTACCATATAAATAAAGCTGCCTTGCCTTGCCAAGCTGCCGAAAATCTGACATATTCTATAAGTTCTTATTTACATTTGCTTATTTTGTTTGTTCAGAGATTACGCACAGAAAACAGGCTGCTGAAGCAGAGGATTGAAACACTAGAGAAGGTAAGAGCAGCTGCCTGTTGATTTAAATCAGCAGCTCTGCTGAAGCTGAACTGCCACATCAGGCCAGTCTGGGAGTTTTATTCAGTGCTGGAATTAGAAACTGTAATACTGTGGGTTTAAATTCACGCTTTTTGTTTTGGGGTTTCTGTCACCTCTCCTTGTGTGTGTGATTGTTCAGCCGGTGAAAACCGAAGTCCTCGTCTTCTGTGAAAGATGTTTTCTTAGAATTAACTTGATGCTGCTGCTTCTCTTGCTCACAAACATTTCTTCACTTCTCTCTTCACTTCTCTACATTTGTTTCCTTTTTTGTGGTTTATCTTCCATGGTTTCCCACCTTTTTATTTTATTTCACCATCTCCATCACTTTTTTTCACCCTCTTGTTCCTCTCCATGGTTTCGCTGTAGGAGAGTGCTGCTCTGGCAGACAGACTGATACAGGTAGAGTACTGTGCACCACTTTCCCACAGACCTCTGGCTAACCTCTGCCTTACTCACACCTTCCCTCTCAGCCTCACTGCAGTAGTTTTCCATTAACCTGACCAGAATGCATGAACATAAATTATATGCCGTCTACTTTTTCAGCCCACGATATTGTCTGGTCCCTGAATGCATGATGGAATTATTTTATACATCATAATCCTTGCATGTGGCATGCCAGTGTTAAAAATGCATATTTCTATCATAGATGTAAATGGATTTAATGCTAAACACCAACACAAAGTATCCACTTGCCATCAGACGTTTGTAATGTAATATTATCATAAATCCAGCTGTTCTGTGAAGGCCTCAAAGACTGAAAGAGGCAGCAAGCCGAGTGAGTGAAAAGTGTAAGAGTCAACATTTCTCCGTGCAATTCCAGTACAAATATAACATTGTTTGAAAGAAGACGCTATATAGTGAAATAAATGGATTACGGAAAACAAGCGGTGAAAATCTTCATCATATGAGACCAAAAATGAAACTTTTAGGCATACACATGATCGTGAACGCACATAATACTGGAATGCTGGTGCTAAAAGTTCACCTTCCTGCAGAATAACGACCCTAAATGTACACCCAGAACTGCCATGGAATCGTTTAGATAGAAACAATTTAATGTTTTAGAATGGCTCAGTCGCAGTCTAGACCTGAATTCAGGAAGAGTCACCATGCAGTCTGACTGAAGAGGATTGCAAAAGAGAATGGGTAAGCTGGGGTGGAGTTGCAGCCTTAGGTGTGAAAATAAGGTGGAGTATTTTTGTTTAGTTTATAGTGCAATATTTTAGCACACTTAAATAAAAAAAAATCTGGCTTAATGTTTTAGAATGGCTCAGTCGCAGTCTGGACCTGAATAAGTAACTTTTTAGCAAAATAAGAGGTCAGTTGATTTCTGCTTTAAAGTCCCAGGCATGCGCTTTCTGAGCAAAGTTAAACCAACAAGATATAGGTGATAGTTTTGTGCTTGAACTATTGACCCTTTGCGCGTGACGTCACTCTCTGTGAATTTACGCCATGACGGACGTCAAATCAATCATCAAATCTGCTTTAAAGCCTGGCAAAAACGCGCATCTTTTAGCCTAATATCGCTGTTCTTTAATTAACTTAGCAGTAAAAATGGTCACAGGTTGCAAAAAGGATACAAACCAAACTTGTCGTTTTATTGTATAACTTTTAAATCAATCAATCAAATTTTATTTGTATAGCACATTTCAGCAGCAAGGCATTTCAAAGTGCTT